TTTGGCGTAGCGCTAAAGAGAGCTGTCATCCTTCCAACTAACAACACATGGAGCGTGATTGGATAGCATAATTTATACTAGCCACTACAAGGAAAGCCATGAACAATAACATAGGTCTTTTTTAAGTAGGATACGGGTGACAGGCAGGAGAGCCTGGGGAAATTACCCCAATTTCTGCTGAATCTTTACCGTAGCCTTTATCCTTTATTTCCTAACCAGCCTGTGAATCTATTAAGAACGTTAAGTTTCAAACGTATCCTTAGCTACTCCTAGAATTAGTAACGCTCCACAAATGGAAAATGTACCTTTTGCTTTCCAAGATGACCATGTAATTTCAAATAGTTCCACTGCTATTTCATGCCATCATAAATTCTCACACTGGCGAAGAGTTAGGGTGACAAGACAGCAATGAGAAAAGTGTTGGACAAACGTATGGATTAGCTCAGCTCGTAGAATCCAACTGTTTCGCCCAACGGAGAGCTTCCCAGATGTCCAGAGCTACCCGGCGGCGTGCGCTCGAGCAGATCCCCTGCTCCCTTCTGCAACACATGCACCAGGGCACATAAGGACATTGGTCCCGTGTGACTGTGATGCTGTAGCCTGTGGGAATAACAGTTTCCATAGGCTTCAATCACATAGAGGTGTGAGCAATAGTGCTATCTACTCTGTGGACTGTCCTGCAATGTACCAATGGGTTATTTTGAGCAGTAGTCCAAATCCACAAAATACAGATCTGGCCTAAATGTTAGAGATGCACGAAGCCATCCCTAGGTTCGAGCAGCTGCAGAATTCAGGCCGAGTCACAGCTGTAGCTCTGAAGACCTCCAAGGGCTGAGTGTATTTTAGCCAAGACCCAAAATGTGCTCCCTGGCCAACAGTGAAAATAAAGCATTATAAATTGTTTAAGCTTTAGCCGCTACAGCTACATAACTTACAAATCCTGCCCACAGCCTGTTGTTAATAATTAGCAAGGAAGAAAAAGCAGGAAAACTACTAGACTTGAATAGTCTGTGGACTCTTCAGTTCAACACATGCACTCACAAAAAGCACACAGCACAAATCAAAGCAAAAGCCCAAACAATGTGACAAACACTTCCTAATGCTTATTTTCCATTAGGGCTGGAGTGAAATGCTAGGACTGCCCAAAGACCGGAAATACTATCTGGTTTCCCTGTATCTCAGGCTTCTTCATAGCAGAAACTCTTCCTTTCTGCAGGGACCCTTCATTTCAAGGACCCTCCTACTACCACCATCAAAAGGCCAATGTGGTCACAACCCCCGGCCTGTGGCCATGGCCCTGTTCACGTTCTGAACACTCACACTGGAGAGCTGGGAGTCAGAATTCACTCCTATTTTTCTGTAAAGCTGCTTTCATGAGCCAGAAAGGTGTTTCAAGATCTTAAGCAAAATCTGTCCTTGGCAGCTGTAACAAAAATTGCAGCCACGTATGCTCAGAGCAGCCTCTGCACGGAGCAGAGCTGGAAATCCGCAGCGCTGCCATTTCAGGGAACTGCAGAATGGAAGGAGGACTTTTCCACATAGTTGGATCGCTGCTTGACTTTGGCAGGGCTCTGCTTTAGTAAACTTTAAAAATATGTGAATGCTGAACTGCCCAGGTACTGGGGACTAGGAGGCTGAAAGCAAACTTAAGAAAGAGCAGTTTCTAGCATGATACAAACCACGACTGAAGAAGAGCTTAACACATATTTCAGTGTCCAAACTGACTGCAGCCAGTTTGCAGAGATATTTTAAACCCATCCTTCACTATGATTCATTTGCTACTTGCACCATCTTACTGTATTCCTCGTATCAGTAACTTAACAAATGCAAGCAAAGACATGATATTCCACAATGAAGAAAGTTTTAGAAAATAATCTCAGAAATATGTGGATTATACTAAACATTAAGTGGACCAGATGATACTTAATTTACACTGGTTTTCTTATTCTGTGATACTCCAAAATTAAGCTTTTGAAAAAGGCGGGGGAGAGAGAAGTGTATTTAAGATTAAAAACTTCCATTTAGCAGCTAAAAAAAACAGAGAAAATACTGGGCAGTACTGTCTCAAGATCTAAGTGCTCTAATAGTGTATGTGGCAGGCATGAGAAATTTAACAGGCAACTAAAACTTGCACATGGACTTAATCCAAGCTCTTTAAAATGAGCTCAGACTGTGAGTGACTAGTTGCTTGGTCTGGAGTGTGGGGAGGGCTAATAGAGGAAAAAAAATAAAAAAGAGAGAGGAGAGAAATATTATTCTGGTACATCCTTTAAGAGACACCCACACACGCACCCTACTATTCAATTTTGGGGTCAGGTTGAGTCAGAGATATTACCCCCCAATTTCAGACTCAGAGTGGTTTGGCAAGGAAGGACAATGGAAAAATTGCTCATATCTCCATGTTCCTATTAAGTCCCAAAGTCTGCTGTGCAAACCAAAGGAATGCACATATCATAGTTAAAAAAAAAATAGATTAAGCCAATAGTGGAAAAGAAGTTCTAGGATATTATTATCCTTGGCTATTTCAAAAAATGAATGATGAAACATTTCAGTTAGAATATCTATTGGAATGTTATAAAAGAGTGTTCCAATTATGTCAGTGTCCCATCTGTGAATGCGATTTCTGTGCTATAAGGAGGGCTCTGAGGATGATTCACGGGTTGCTGGATGGTGTGACTGCATCTCGCGGCGCACACGGGCTAAGGGCTGCCCCGAGTGACAGCAGCGACAGACACGGGTGGACAGGGTGACACAGGGGCTCACGCTCACCCGGTGGATCTCCCTGCCCTGTCCAGGCTCTCGCTGACGCTCGCAGAATCACAACTCGAGGGAGAAAAGACCCTCGAGAGCCTTTTCTCTATCAAGCTCATGCCAAGCAGGCTTCGTTTCCCAATCTGAGCCTGCCCTATTCATAAATGGGAGCTTGGCCCCAGGATTATTAACACAGTATCTTTTACACGCCCTACATTTATGAGGCTACTGCACTTTGTTGCGGGCACCAAAATCCTCCCCAGGCCAGACGCTGCTCCCAGAATTGCCGTGCGCTGTTAACCCCGCACAGCCCAACGCAGCTCTGGCTTTGTGGGACGGCTGGGAGACGAGCTGTGCCACGAAATCAGCCGAATCCCGGCTCCCCTGGCACGAGCAAGGACTTGGCATTAGGGAAAACGCTGGCCCAGGAGCACGGACATCCTGCCTGAAGAATCTCTGCACTGGGTTGTGCAACCGATTGCACCGCTAGTCTGGCTGCTGCGGTCTCAAATATTTGATCTGGAAAAAAAAATCACTGCTTTTCATTTCAGTCTCTGACTGCAGGGCTCAGGGGCCCAAGGGAAGAGATCTCCCGTGGAACATCGACCACAGGGAAAGCAGAGCTGCATAATAACGGCAGGGAATTAGGTAGCTGCCATCCCAGCGCTGCCCTGTGCTGTGATATGCTGTCACTGTAAAGCAGGTGAGCTGGTGGCTTTGGCAACATGGGGAAGAGCAGGCTGTCCCTTACTGCCTTCCTTTCCTGCTTTCTCTGCTGCAAAATAATTTCTCTCGGACGTTGTGAGAGTGACTGAGAGCTGCTGAAGTGCTCAGCAACAAGGGGGTTATGGCTGGGGAAAGCCGAGGATGAACGGGACATGGCCATGGGCCTGATCCTGGGGCAATAAAGCCAGTCAGAGCCTTTCCCCCGGCTTTTATACATTTTTAGATGAGCCCCTTCGGGCGCCGCGTTAATGAGTGTGTAATTTCTCTCGGACGTTGTGAGAGTGACTGAGAGCTGCTGAAGTGCTCAGCAACAAGGGGGTTATGGCTGGGGAAAGCCGAGGATGAACGGGACATGGCCATGGGCCTGATCCTGGGGCAATAAAGCCAGTCAGAGCCTTTCCCCCGGCTTTTATACATTTTTAGATGAGCCCCTTCGGGCGCCGCGTTAATGAGTGTGTTTTGGCAGGTACTATGAGAGCTCCCGAGGCAAAATAGCCGCTATTAAGAGGCCTCCAAGCGCAGGCCCCGCCACCCCCGCAGCACAGGGGGGCCG